AGTTAAAACCTTGGGAAAGCACTAAATATATTCTGGACGGTAGCTGATGAGATATTTTCTTAGTCGTAAAATTCTTTTCTGTTAAAGGAGCTCATCAGAAGATTTATTTTTTAATCACAGGATATTTTTCGGACGCTTTCAGAACACACAGATCTAGGTATATTTTAAGGCACATCGGGATATTAATTAGGAAAAACCTATACAGGGAGACATATCACCATTCATTTTCTCAACAATTCATAACTCTAAGAGCTCTTAAGTTGGACTAGCGTTTAATTGCTCCTTACATTATCGCGCTGAATCAAGCATAAAGGTCATGAGAATAAGGGAAATGGTTGCCAACAGAAGAAGCTCTTGACTGATCAAAATTTTTCTGTTAGTATCAGAAAATGTTTGGATGGAAGTATAGATAATAAACATACTGTTTTATAAGTGTAGGTTGTTTACGTTACGTTTTCTTTTTGTAGGAAGCTTAATTGTCCCTTTATTGTAAAGTTCTATGGTGCAGCACTGCGCAAGGAAGGGGAGCAGCTGAAAGCAATACTGGTGATGGAGCTCTGTAAGGAAAACTTGATGAGGCACATTTTCCGGCATGAAAGAAATATACCTGGTAGGTCATCAACTGCTACAGCTGCGAAAGATGTGATCGGATGGGCAAAAGACATCGCCGATGCTTTGAAATACATTCACAGACAAGGTATCGTTCACAGAGATCTCAAGCTGGAAAATATATTGGTGAGTTCAAAATTGGGAGTACTGGTTATCGTGACTATTTTTAATTATAATCATCTTCGTCCTTCGAGACTCTCTCGCACTTCATCGAATTCCAATTCGCTCGCTTTCACCCGGTTTGCCTGCTTTCTACGTGGGATACCTGTGGCAGACCACGCTATAAATTCGCTTGAGTGTCGTTGTAGTCAGATATGGAAATTAGCCGCGTGTTTGTGCTTCTCAATGAAATTAGTTGAGGTTGGATGGGCGACCGCACATGATATCCTGTGTTGTCTTTAGTTTTCGATTTAATTCCTGCACTTTGAAGGTTCAACATTAACTTCATTATTTTCCATGTAAAAACCAGTGTGACTGTAGATAAAGACTAACGCATCTCAAGTTAACACCTCCAGGCGTCTCGTTCTCACTATGTCTTGCCTTCTTTAAAGAGGTCTCGTCTGTTTCGGGTTCCACTTGGAGAAACCTTCAATATTGTAATCCCTCGGTTTCTACAGGACATTTTTTTAAATGGAAATCACAAGCGGTCACAACACTTAACGTTTTATCGGAAACTAACATGAACAAAACTGACTCAACTTAGAGAGGTTAAAACTATGAGTTAAAACTGCTTATAATGCGTTTCAAAGATAGTTTAAAATGGTGGTAGATTTAAAAAATTTTCTAGTAACAGAGCCTGATTCATCTCTATTCGGCATTTCCTGACGACTACCCTTTTCTAATATGACTTAATTTTTTAACAGTCGAAATTTTTTGACTTTGATATTAAAAATGTATTTTTTTCCATCGAATTTATCTAATTTTCCCACAGCTGTCGCAAGAAAATATTGCCAAACTAGCCGATGTCGGTGTTTCTAAAGAAGCCAAAGCGATCACGGGTACCATGACGGGAACTCCTTTGTATCTCGCTCCTGAAGTGATCAAGTCCCATTTGTACGATTACAAAGCAGACATCTACAGCTTCGGCATAATGCTCTGGGAGATGTGGTATGGTAGCAGACCTCTTCTTGATGTGGAAGGAAATGTGCCTGAGTATTTTGAAAAAGTGGTTGAGGGTGTAAGACCTATGCATGTCCAAGGCTCAAAGGAGCCTCCAGCTGGTTTGCGTGATCTGATGCAGCGTTGCTGGGACGAAAAACCTGATAATCGACCAGATGCGAGCGAGTGTTATGAGAAGTTGACTGAGCTCTATCAGGAATTTGGCGCACCATCTTCGTAAACACTGGTTATTAGGCAACCACCTTGAACGTGTTTACTTTTCAAGTGTAAACTGTTTTGGAGCAACAGTGATTTAGAGTGTTTTAAGATATCCCTTATGACTGTTGCAGCAAATAGATTGACCTAACCCGCGCCAATTTTTCTCGTTTCAAACTTAGTTCGTACATCATAGAAACCTATTTTAGTCTTAGTCAGTGCTGATACTAAGGACTTCTATCGAGACAAGTGTCATTTTGGATGATTCCGAGAGGCCTAATTAAGCGCACAGGTGTAGTTGGCTCCTCTGTTGCTTTGTCTGTCAGAGGATCTTTTGTTACGGTACAGGGTTGTCAGCCCGTTGCCCTGCCCTAAACCCAAAGGTGGCTTCATCAGGCATGAAAGTTAAAGCAAGAAGTGTATGATATACATCGATTCTTACGCAGTTGACAGAATGTAGGACTGGTGCATCGGTCGGTCTTTAAATCTTTGCAGGATCTCTATCCTTATGTTCTGGTATTCTTTAGACCCTGCAAGCGTAAAAGAGACTCGAGAAAGTCTTAATTAAGAAAGAAAGAGAGAGGGTGGGCGACCGTACTCTCATGTTAAAAAGGCATAGTCTAGTCATATTCTCATAGTATCGTAAAGTATACAAACATATAATAGTTTCAATGATTTAATAGATTTCCTTTAATATGAGCAAGTTATCATGTGTTTTAATCTCCTTCCAATTTACTTTTTTTGGGGCTTTTGTCAAATAGTTGACGTGTTACTATTTTGAACGAAGAACAACAAGAATATTCTAAAGGCAAATATTGTTCTTTCAGCTTGTAAGAAAGCTTTTTGCCGAATTTTAAAGTTAGTTTCACCATCTGGTATAAGACACTTGTGATCGTTTACTCTTAGAAGATTTCGTAAAGAGCATTCTGTTTTTTAAGAATTTAGATTAAATATAATGTAAGAAGGTCAGATATCAGAGATGGAGTTGTAAGCATAAAAAGGGTCAAACGACGTGAACAGAAGTTCCCTTGGAAGGAATTTTAGTACTGAGCAGCGTACTTTTTCATTAAGGAATTGTGTGATTAAACTTGGGAAGAAGAAACAAATTCCCATCATTACCCCTTAAAAATTGGTAAACGAAGCTTTTACAAAGATGGTTAGACTTAATCGTTTCTTAAGATCGCAAACTGTGAAAGTCAAATAAAGACTTGATCCAGGTTTTTCTTCTATCGATCTTCCAACACTTTCTACTTCTGCTGACACAGCGGCGAACTGAGTGCGTATGCTTGTAACTCGCTTTAAGTTTTATGCGTGCAAAGAAATGGGAACGAAAATATCTCCATAGTAACACTACACTAAGCAGAATTGCGGCATTTTTAAAATTCGCATTGCTTGTGTTCATTTTGCGGCGATTAGCCCAAACCAAAACAGATAAGGTTGCCTTTTTCAGGAAAGTTTCTGTCAAACCTTCTTCGTCACGTAGGTGTGAATTCAGTGACTAAGTTGAGCGGCCGTAAGATGGCTACGAAGCTCGTAGCACTTTTATCGCTGTGGTGCTTCTCGCTGTCGCCTTCTCCTTAGGCAACCCCCCAGCCCTCGGAGAAAACATTTGTTTTCTCGCGGAAAAAATCACGTCAGCTTATCAGTTGCAGAAGAAGAATCGTGGTCCTCAACGTTTAAATGACTCGAGTGGCAAAACATGCGCTCTCATTTTGTCACTGCGCCCCTCCCTCTCATCAATAATCAATTTTCTATAGTCCTACTTTAAACTCTTTTACCCCCTGGAAACCATGTGTTCCCCCCTCACAAAATTAAAAATCCCTCAACCCCTTCCCCACAGCTGATAAATACTGACTTTTCCCTATTGAAACTGATTTCCTAAAATAACAAAGATTTCCATTTTTTTATCCGCAAATAACCACAGACAAACAGCAACGAAACTCGTCGTAACTTAGCTAAACGTTACGTTAGTATATAAAGTCTATATACCGTACAGTCAATGTCTTGAATATGCAATGGTTCAGGTACTTCATCGTGATGTTCATGTATCTGATGTTCTCCCTCAAATGAATTTCCATCGCTGACTCAATCCAGTTTAATTCAATTCGGTGATGGAGCTCTTTTGCTTCAAGTTCTAGGTATTGGCCGATTATTGACCCTTTAACAACCTGAAGTGATCAGATGTAACTTCTCCCAATAATATCCATACATTATCCAGCAAACAGGTAATGAGAATACTCAAACTTATCAGGTAGAGATTGTTATCTTGATCTAACACCAAATTATTGCCCATAATTTACAAGGAAATGTGTAGCAGCTACAGGGGAGAATTAACAATCAGATCTTGGGAGTTTAAGGGTTAATGCAAATTTAGCCATTGCTTGGCAAAACTGCGTTCTGAATTATCTTTAAGAATCTTTTTCAGTTGTGTGCTCCTTGCAAAATGCGGATGCATATGCATTTATTTCGGACTATAGCATCTCTTGGAAGAAGTCCTCTTATCAGCCGAAATTTCTTATTTACAGACAACTAAGCACTTACATGATTGCAGAAAAAAAGGAATTGGCGTGATAGGGTTAAATGGTTTGTTTCGAATTCTATCACATAATTTGTGAATCTTGTTGAATGTTAAAAACTTACTCCACAATTGCAATGTATTTGGTACAGTCTAAAATTAGTGACAATAACTACTCTATAACTACTAATAATCTCTAGTATTGTATCAGTTTATTAATAGAAGATTTAACTCATTGACATAAATGTATCTTATAGCTCAGTAAATTCAAACATCCATGGGCCATCATTGAACGCAACATACCAACCGTAACCATTTTACCTATGTGAACGAAAGAACTACATTTTACACAACAAATACAAACTTTTGCAATACTCAGAGACCAAATCTTTATCACTATGCTATTAGATAACTTTTCCCTTAGAAACATAAAAAAAATTTACAAACAATCATACCCATTTGTAATCGAAGTATCATCGTAAATAACAAGAACTCATCTTTAGTCACGGTCTAGTCTGTACATAACTGATTGATATTTTTTTTCCTCATTCCCATCGTCATCATCCTTTTCACAACTAATGCCATAATCGTCAAAAATTATCCTTATCAGATTTTCTACCAACTTTGCTTAATTTTTTGGAGAACTACACAACAACGATTTCATGGATACGTTCAAAAGTGTCCTTCGCTCTACTAAGGTCCGCCTTACTTTGCCTAAGAGGTTCACGCACCACTATTCAGAGGGACACTAGGCGTGTCCCTCTGAACATTGAACATTGCGACTTTGAGATCGAAAAGAACCAGCAGGATTTAGAGAATAGTTTTTGTTTTTGTTTTTGTTTTTTTTGTTTTGTTTTGTTTTAGTTTTGTTTTGTTTTTTGTTTTTTTTGAGAATATTTTTAGATTTTTAATATATAAGATGGATGTTTTTTTTTATCTTCAAATAAGATTTTCCATGATATTTCCCTTGAGCTAGGTTGAACTCGGAAATAGTTAAGGATAGGATTAGGAAGTAACAGATTGTAGTCGATGGAATGTAATCATTAGAATGAAATAACTATGTGAAATGAGACCTATGACAGATTTAAATTTAATTAAGTTTATACTATATTATAGGAAAAGAATTTTAGTGAATTAAAATTTATGATTTCATTATTATTATTATTATTATTATTATTATTATTGCTGTATTAGTATTTCAATAAAGCCGTATGATGATCTTTGTTTGTCCTGCAAGCGCTTTGAGAATCTCGATTTCACAAAACTCACCAATAAACCTATCTCCATGTCTTAAAGAGTCACTTTTAAATTTTGCATACCTCTACCACTTCTACTCTATTGCTCCTCAACTTCGACCCCCTCAGTATGATTGGACAAAGGGTGAAGGTAGGCATATGATGATAAATTATTTGATAACCATGTAAATCATCATACATACGTGATACTAACTTCATAATCTTGACACTATGTACAAAACGTCACAATAAACTAAGTTTTAGCTCTATACCTTCAGAGATTTTCTTGAAATTATTAGAGTTCAAATGGGTGGAGATGTGTCCCGGTAGAGCATGGTCAACCTCTGATGACATGCTGTGGTATCTGGTCGTTTGTCTGCTTCTTCAACCAAGCAGCCCCGCATTAGACCTTTCCATTCAGGCGGGGGTTTCTTCCTTTCTTGGTCGTCTTGTGTTGGTCTGTTACGTTCAGCATACTAACCATAAACCGCTCTCACGTCTCCCTCTACACCTGTAAAGGCTCTCTCTCCAAACCACATCTCCCAGGGCATTATGTCAAAGCTGTAGATATCGGCCTTGCTATCGTAAAACCCTGATCTGATCACTTCTGGGGCAATGTAAAAAGTTTCCTTCATTGTTCCTGTGGTCATCTTGGCTTCTCTAGAAACACTGACATTAGCGAACCTGACATTGACTTCATGTGACAGCTGTTAGATAACGCCTATAACAAAAGACAGAAGTAGAAAACTCTTTTAGGCGGTTCTCGCTCAAATGCATTATAAATGTAAGCGCAGAGCTAATGAGTGTTTGAGCTGTTTTTGTTACATACCACTCTGAAATATGATAAAATTTGGACTATTTTGGAAAAAAGGTGGCCTTTCCTGCGCATGTACATGCATAGATTTAAGCAGTGACTTTTAAAGTGACGATTCATCCCCTCCCCCTCTCTCACTTAAGATCGCAAAATTAAAAACCTAAGATTTCCCCTTGGTGTTCAAGGCAAATAAAAAAGGGAGGCCTTGCATCAGAAAATTTGAGTGGCTTTAGAAAATTACAAATACAGACAGATGCAATGGAGTGCAAAACGATCATAATTCAGGACAAATTATGTAGTATAGTTTGTCAAGTAATGCGAATCATATGAGTGTTCCTGCTGAGAACTAGTCAATAGTTTTAAGTGCGTTCAAACAGATTCTGAGACAGGCTAACACAAACTGTAAAGTAACGAATGAAATCATATGAACTTCAAGTGTGAAAAAATACTTGAAACCACAATGTTTTAAGACTGCTTGTTTAGAGAAACAAGTCACTGCTGACTCAGACTGAGATAAAGATTTGATATCATTTTATACTTGTTTAGAGCCTGCAAATGTATCCTTTACCATTTATTCATTCAATTTAACAACGAATATTTAATATCACCATACCAGTCCAGAGCTTTCTTCGGAAACCTTCCCATGTTCATTCGTGTGTCATTTCCGTACAAGTTACCATGATGTTTTCCAAATTGAAACTCTGTGAACAATTCCCTGAATATGAATGAACTCGAGAGCATGGGCGATGTTTCTTGCCCATCGAATTAGACTTCTCGCGGCACCAGGTGTCAAGGACAGACTAGGTATATTGTCCTGATTCTAGAAAATGCGTCCCATCAAGTTTTCCTTGCAGAATTCCATCACGAGAGTTACTCTCAACAAATCTTCTTCTCTAATCAGTGCAGCACCATAGAACTTAACGATAAATGGATGATTCAGCTTCCTAAAAAAATTTTAGATTCATGAATTACCTTTAGCCCAGTGTCTGTGTAACAGTATCACGCTTTGTTTCATTAGTTAATTGTTGTCACGCTATGATTTCCTTTTATTGTTATTTTTTTACATTGTTTCATTGTTTCAACTCTTCTTCCAAAACATGTAAACTATCGACTAAAGTAAAGCCTTCGGTCCAAAAAATTACTTTTTTGAATGAATGTTTCAATAAAAGAGAAAACAAAACAAAAAAATTATAACAAGTATAAAGGCTTATGTCATAAAAGTAGTGGATCACATTTTAAACCCACTTTGGTTGTCCATAGAAGCCCCATAAGTTACAAATCACTCGATTCAACGGCTCGCGGAACTGAAAGGTTCTCTCGTTTTCTCCCAACATCCCAGTTGTACTTATCACGTTACAAAACGAGAGGAAATGTCGTTTCTCGTTTAATCATAAATTTAAGTCAGCTTCCTGACTCACAAACTTTGGGAACATAAAGAATCGTTGTGGACGAAAAAATTTTGTACTCTTGATTACCAACCTACAACGAGAACAACGTATTCTTTTCTCTCCAGACTCTGTTTGTGAGAATAAATTTTGTCGTCAAGGTGTCCAATGTTTTGCTCTAAGAGGGTACGAAGTTTGTCGTTCATCTTGGTGTATAAACAAGTCTCCGTGTTCTTAAAGAATTTTTGTAAGGTTACTCGTTT